TCAAAATAATTCTTTAAAAGAATCAGTATCATGAAATAAATAAATAGTCAAGTTTTATTTTGTTTCTTTAATGAAAAAATAAATCCGTCAGGTTAAATTGATCTTGTCTTTTTATTTTTCCTGCCTTGTTTTTACTACCATAAATTGTGACTGCAATACATCAAGTATATGGATCCGTTTCCATCAAATCCAAAACCATACAAGCTATGCATCGTTTCCTAAAATAATTCTTTTTTTCTGCGATATTTGTCTTCGAATTTAGTCTTCGCCCTTTCAGTAATAGTTTAGCAATAACAACACCCAAGAAGAAGGATAATAACTGCATAGAAAAGACGACGATTGTATACGTTAATACATACGATAAAGAATGGGAATATCAAAGACAAATCAAGGCTGTATATATAACCACTATTGGATAGAAGAAGTACATCAGAACGTCGAGGAAGTGGTAAAGAAGAAGCAATAACATTATGCAAATAAAAACTCTTTTTGCGCTATTTTGTACTATCGCTCTACTTTTAATCGGAGCCAATGATGGTGCACCAGCAGATCCAAAACCAGTAAAAGTTATCCAAGATTCACCTAAACCTACAATCATGTAAAAACTAATCAAAATAAAAATATCTGTAAATAAATTTTGTTTGTTTTAAGTAAACCACAACTTTCTGGTAGTCGTACAGCATGGAAAACAAAGATTGGTGCAGAAAGTAAAAAACTCTTCAATGAAGTAAGTTTATTTGAAATCATTCGCTTTGAATCTTTTTTCTTTTCTGTTCTAGAATAAACCAATCATATCAAAAAAACTTCAAACTGTTCATAAAGTACCAACAAAATTTGTTCCTAAACCATCGAAAGTAGCAACACAAGTTGTTAATGGTTTTCTCTATCATTATTTAGTTAAATTACCAACAAATAAATATGCATATGTAACAGTTCTTGATCGTCCATGGAGGAAAAACAAAGCTACAAATGAAGAACATGTTAATGTACGACCACAACTTTATGCATTAAATGATAAGAATATTTAATTACATTACTGCGAAGACTAGAAAATATAAACAATCTTATTTATCATATACTTAGGGCATACCGAACGTCTTTACGAAGCTATATCAATTTTTTATAGAATGCTTGGAGAAATTTTTTTTTTAATGTAGTGATAAAGAAAACGATGCTCTATTTTCCTATGCTATTTAATCAATCTTCAACTAATATTATAATAATAAAATTTCGATGAGAACTGTTTTTGTGTAAAACTTAACTAACGGATGAGGCAGATTAATACGCTTTGCATTTCAATTTTCAATCACTCAATACGTTGTATTGAAAAACAAAATATACCACAAGATGCAGCATAAAAAGCTCTACAACTTATAAACAATAGTTTATTTTATACACGAAATAAGAAAACAGAATTTCTCTTCACATGATTTTTTCAGGGCGGTGAAAATTGGTTGCACAGAATTTTGGTTTCTTTGGCGAGAAATACACAATTAAAATAAGCATTACTTTGTAGATTATAGAGCTTTTCACGCTGCATCTTTTGATGTATTTTGGTTTTTTTTAAATAAAAGATATCAGGTAACAAAAAGATGAACTAAGAAAAAATGAAGTCATCTACTACCTTAAAAAATATCGTTTTTGTACGATCGAAAATTGATTGCTCAAAATTTTGTTCATTTTGAAAACAAAAAAATGCAACTGTTAAAAAAACGGTTTATGTAAATTGTAGAGCTTTTCACACTGCACTTTGTGGTATATTTTGTTTTTTTAATACAACGTATTGAGTGATTGAAATATTTAATCTGCCTCACCCGTTAGTTAAGTTTTACACAAAAACAGTTCTCATCGAAATTTTATTATTATGATATTAGTTGAAGATTGATCAAATAGAATAGAGAAATAGAGCATCGTTTTCTCTATCACTACATACAAAAAAGAAAATTTCTTCAAGCATTCTATAAAAAATTGATATAGTTTCGTAAAGACTTTTGGTATGCCCTAAGTATGTTGTTAATTAGAAAAATAGACTTAAAGGTTTTTCTTCTTTCATTTTTATTCTATGAAGACACTTTTCCCTGTAAAAAATGAAAGTACCAATTTGTTCATTTTGATGAACAAAAATAAATAATATTCGTATATTTTCACATGAAACATTGAACCAATTGAAACAATGAGGAAATAATGAGATTGTATGATGATGATATAGACTTTGTATATAAAGGATAACTCAAAAAATCTATATGAATTTATAGAGTGGATGCCGAAATTCTAAAACATCAAATTATAAGGTTGTTATTTTTTTGATTGAAGAAGAACTTACGATGCAAAATGATTGTATGGATAGTTGTTGCATTATCTGAATTTTAAAACCACAGTCAAGTGTTAAACTATGGTTTTTCTTAATTTTTCTATTATCTTATTAAATAATACTTTCTAGTCTTAACTCGAGTGTATACAAGTTAGTTACTTTAAGAATAAATAAATATTAAAGTGAATTAATCTGAAAAGTAGTAATTTGTTTTGTTTATTGAAGCGTTCACTTCTTCAATATTAAAAGTCTATGCATCATTACACATGAATAACCAGAAACTTAACTACTTTATGAAAGAATTCTTAAAATTAAAATGCCACATGTAATGAAAACTTCGACAGTTTATTATATTACTCGTGCCCATAAACTAAAACGACCTTTATAATGTCTTTTCGTACGAGTAAAAGATTATAATATCGCATAGACACTCTTCGAGAGTGTGCGTGAACATGGATGTGCCTGGTTGTAGGTCTTTTCATCTACCATATACCTATATCTACATCTTTTATGCTTGAATATATCGAGAATAGTGCAGAGCGTATCCAATGAATTTCACCAATGATCAAATATGGATTTCACATATGTTTTTCGTGTTTATTATTGTACTTGAAATTGTGGCGTGGTGCTATTTACGTTGTTGTTTTGAGTAACTTAATGTTCGTATAAAAGAACAGTTGCATATTGTTCCGCATTGATGCGGTGAACAGTTTCATTATTGTTGTTGAGAAGTTCAACAATTTATTATATGTGGACACTAACAGTGATGGATGTCATAGAATGCTGGTCTGTTGTCATTCATCGACGAAAGAGACACGGTATGAGGTGAAAAAACAAAAGAGACATGGGCGAAACGAGAATAATTTGCGTAGTGTGCACTCATACTTGACGAGAGACAATTCACTGATGACAATAGTTTCTAGTCAAACACGTAAAATGTATCAGAAAAACCATGAGCATTGGATCATTCGACGCTAATTACTTTGAAATCTATGGGACGGTCCATTATTTCCAATAATTTTTCCAGCTAGTTTAATCGTATTCGATCTTCTCCTATGCTGGAAGTCTTTTTTTTTCGTATTTACATTCATTAACAGAATCAAATTGAGTATGAATTATTTTCTTTACTTTATTAAATCTCAAAAATACTATTCTTTATCGTTGAAAGACTTTCTTTTCTAGAATGAAAAAAGGTGTCCCAAAAAATATAACAACGAGAATAGTAATCAAATAGCTAAATAACAGTTCAGACACATAATTATTGAGAAAAGTCCTTGATTTATTGAATAATGTTGCGAAGATGACCGAGAAATGAATCAGATAAGCAGCGTAATTCAAACGTACTAACGGTGATCGAATGGTCAATATCACTTTGATTGATATTACACAAAAATATAAACCATGAAATGGGACCGACTAAGCAGGTCGAGATCGAGGTTAATGAGCAATGAGTGAGACTCGATTGAGATCAGGTTCCAGTACATAATTACTGTAGATCGAGAAGATATAAGTCAAGGCAAGCACAATAAGGAGAAGATTTCCGATAAGTCGAACGAAACTATTTAGTAGAGTGCTGTCTAACAGTTTTGAAGCTCGAAGAAAGCCGTCCGTTCTGCCCCGCAGGACAATCGTGACCGAGACAATTCTAAAAGTTTCCGGACGAGACAGACGGAATCGCGAATAATATAGAAAAAACTAATGTCCTGAATATTCCTAATTCTTATATCAAAACTCATCGTACATTTTAATTTTTTTTATTTCTAATAAATATCTTAGTATTTAAATAAATCATAGAAACAAGAATAGACAAAGAACTAGACAGACACTCGAGCAAAGTCTGAATAGAACAGGCAGCTGACTGCATGAGCACGAAAAATGTCAGAATGTGATCCTATGCAACATCTAGTATTTGTAAATCTTAGAGTTTCGGAGAGGAAATCATAATGAATTTCAGTCATGTTCACCTGCCTGGGCTCAGCTGGCAAACTAAGAGACGATGAGTCTGAACCGATTATTGCCATCCACGGACAGTATCGTATATAGCATCTGAAACATCAATGTTTTTTTTTTCAGATTGAGTTATGCATGACCATATAAAAAAATTCTCAACTGTTAATTATTGCTTTCCGCATTTTTATAGCCCCGAACAGAATCGAGTTTTTAAAACAACAGATATGCACTCGATCACATTCTCGCGATTTCGACAAACTTTTTCTCATTTCGAAATGATGATTTGGTGGGAAGAGGGAGTAGTTGACTGGGGCCGTGACTCATGTGTCGAGAAGAAGAAGATCAGCCATTTTAAAGAAAAATTTGTCATAGTACTACCTAAGCGAGTGAAAAGCAATAGGTTAGCTACTGCATTTTGTGCATTCTGCTGTCTTTCAGTCAATATGACAAATGGAATTCTACAGGACAATTCGAAAATACTCGGGATCGAACGTTCGGGATATGGATATGGATGTGAGTACGGGGATGGGATGCTTATCATTTACCACAAATTGTACTTTCGGAATCAGTCCCTAAATTATATCCATATTTGTAAGTTACCAAGCAATTAAGGTCAAGTCTGGTGACAAAGTAGAGATTTTTAGTGCGGGATTTTTTTTTTATTTAAAAACTTTTTTTCATATAATATAAACCGTAATCCAATGCTATCCTAGTACTCATATTCAATAGTACACGTCTTTTATATAGCTATTAAAACTTTTAAAGTAAACTTTGAGTTCGGATTTAGTACTAACGGGAAACATACAATGTTATTTAAGATGTGGGTACAAGTAGGGCTGTAGTTATTCTATTTACCACACTCAAACCAAATGCATTCTAAATTTTATTTACTGATCTTCGATATAAAGAAAGCTTCCAACAAAGGTAACAACAATCGATTCAATCACTGTCGCTGCTAAAACTTGTATTGATAATCATGGAAAAAAGACTTCTCACTTCGAAGTCGTCATTTTGCGAAGCGATTCCACAACAAACGAAAATTGTTATCAATTTTTTCGAAAAATCGTTGATGATATAGGAACATGGAACATTTTAACAACGTTATAATAAAAATCATACGACTCTCCGATCTTTTAAGTATTCTGCTTTGCACTGCATTAATTATTATTTACATTTTGACGATTCTTATTTTTATTCATATTATCTATAACACATCTTAAAAGTAGACAGTTTATTTTATTTTATCAGATTTATTTCAAAATTTATGAATACATAAAAGCAATCTATATAAGAATTTCGCAATATTTATTCATGTATGGCAAATAAACTGATAAAACACACGGTTTGTTTTCTTCCTCAATAAATTATATTATTGCATCATGTAAATCTTATCAAAGCAAAAGTTACCTCAAATATGAAATAACAAAAAAAAAGAAATCTCTTATCCGCAATCCTCAAAGTTTATTTATTTCAGTAAAAAGAAACAATTTTAGAGAAACATATGTATGTCAACTCTTTCTCTAGTGCGTACAATTAAATAATTTTCTCTAAAAAGTGCCATTCGTTGTACAGGATGTTTATAATTTAATTGTATCTTCTTCCATTCTGAATTTATTCCTATTATATTAGGGTTTATTGGTGAATATGCAAGCCACTTGATATCAGATTGAGTATTTTCTATTGATATCATCCTATAATCATGCATCAAATTGGATTCAGAAAGTAAAATTGTTTTAATACATATTAAAGTTTCTATATGACAAACTT